GAAACAGAGACCATGAAAAGTAATTACATCCATTAATCTTTTAAATTACTTAACTCATCCTCAAGACAAGATCTTAATTTTAACTAAATACACAAATTGTCCAGCTTATTCATTTTATAAATATGATTTATAAATAAGATGACCATACTTAAAAGTCTGCATGTCTGTGTTTGGTGGCAGTTTAATTGTCAGATGATGTTTGGAATGGCTCTTATAACTAATCTTGTTCATATGACATCCATAAAATAAATTGACAGTGACTGATTATGGATGGAAACACCACAAATCCATTAAAAGGATTCTAAAATAAACAAAGTAAAGACCATAAGTAGATCATCTACAGATCAGAGAAGTCCTCAACATTTTTTTCACTCTATTTTTAGGTCTTTTAAACAGATGTTTCCCTTAAAGCAATTTTATGAGCTTAAATTTCATGGCACATGTAGCCCTAACACTATATAATAAAGAAAAAAAATCCCCACACTGAAATTAGTGGGAATGTCAATCTCATTGGTGAAAATCTATAATAGGATATATTTTAAATTAAGCCTTTTCACTTCTAACTTTACAAAATAGATTACATCTTTAATATTGTTAGATTATATAGGACTCAGCTAAAATGAATTGTATTTCTAATAATATTATTAATAAATAATAAATAGGTGCTATAAAACATTTAACTTTGATAAACATTTAACTTTGAAATTTTTTATGTACATTATTTTATTTCCCCATTACTAATAATTTTCCGATTAACCATTCTCCTCAAACTTTTTTATTTTTTTCTCCATTAAATCCAGAAGTAAAGCATTTTGCTTTGTCATTGATTTTGTTATTTGTCCCAATATCTAGACCAAGAAATGGGGTAGTTTTCATTCCCACTAGGAAAATTTGTTATCTTGTCAAATGATGTAGACAAAATTTTCCCTACATGCTACTAAAAGGAGGTCTTATCTTAAAACCCAACTATAGGAGATTACATGTGAAAATCTGGAATGCCAAATATATTTTTACTCCAAAGAATTTTTCTGGGTAGAAAACTAGCAAATAAGTTTATAATACTGATCATTACACAGTATGCATATAACCTTTAAAAGTACATATATGCATAATAAGTATATATAAATGTGTGTGTAAGTTTGAAATATTGTTTACTGTCAATAGAATTTGCAAGTACTCTATTGGCTGTACCTTTTGTTTTTTTGTCTCATTGTCATACTAGGCATTGATTTTTGTTTTGTTTTGTAAAAATACCAGTCTTCACTAACCTATGTTATGAATAAGCTGGTGTCAAATCTTACTTAAAAAAAGAGGTGTGTGCCTTGACTTTGACCTGGACCCTAATCCTCAACAAAGCTGAAGAGGAAGGTTGGCCACTCAAGACTGGTTAACTAGTATATTATTTTTACTTTGGTAACAAATATGGGCTTAAATGTGGGCTATTTTATTTACATTGAGACTATGTTTAAAATTAAATAACAAACCAGTCTATATCAAAAAACCTATCTGTTTATTAAATTTTCCAGGGCATATTAAGCTCTTAACTTTTAAATTTTATTACATTTGAATTTCCAAAAATTATAAGAGAATATATTTCACATTTATTTAGCCAATATTAGAATTACTCCATAATATAAATCAGCAGCTTTCAACTGCATTCTTTCATGGACCTTTGTTAGTCCATGACAAAAGGTCAGTATGAAAGGCATTTGTGGCAGAATAAATTCTGTATCCAATCTTGTAAACTTCTAAATGCATGTTGAATATCCATGTTCTCAACTAATGTGACATGAGAGGCTCAAAAACAGCCTCAAACATGTATGATAATTTAAAGGCTGAGAATCAGGGATTTAGGATATAAAAAAAGCTAGCAAAGTAACAGTGTACTAAGTCTAAAGATGATAAAAGGGAGGCAAAATTAGAAATTAATGAAATGGAAAAGAAATTCAGTAAAAGGGAGGTTCAGTATGGCCAGTGTTGTTTCTTTGAACAGACTAATAACACTAATGACTGCCAGGGGAAAGTATTTGAGAAAGCAGACAGCCAATTTCAGGTACAAAACAGACACCATCCCTTTGCATTCCCTGCTTATGACATATTATCCAATTACATGTTGCTGGATTTGGTAATAGTTGCATCACTGAAATATAACTTTGCATTACTGAAATGCAATTTCTTTCCTTTCTGTGCAAGTATTGGGGCTTGAACTTGGCCTACATGCTGGCCTTTAGCATTTTGATCAAGGTTGGCACCATATTAGTTGAGCCACACCTTCACTTCTAGATTTTGCTGGTTAATTGAAGATAAGAGTCTCAAGGACTTTCCTGCCTGGGGTGGCTGTGAAACTCAATCCTTAGATTTCAGACTCCTCAAAATTATAGGCTTGAGTCACTGGTGCCTAGCTTTGTAATTTCATCACTCAAATTTGGTGATGAAAAATACTTTGGCTTTTGTTCATCTGAAATGTCTTTGACTTTACATTTAAAGAATATTTGTGACAAATGTACTAATCTGATTTTTTTTGTTTAGCATTTTAAAAGCCAACCATTTTAATGAATTTGAGTTTTTTCATTTCTCATGAGAAACTGGCAGTCATATTTTTAAATCATTGTTCCCTTTGCGTAATATTCCTTTTCCCCTTCTGTAATTTAAATATTTTCTCTTGGTTTTCAGCCACTTGGTTATGATATGCATATTATGTCTTTCTGCTTGAGATTCACCAATCTTTCTACATGCATGACTTTATGTTTTACATTAAATTGGAGGATTTCCCACGATCATTAGATACTGTTCTGTCCCATTTTATCTCTTCCTTTGGAGATGCCAGTTGGTGCATGTGAAGCTGCTCTGTTTAAGGTGGCAAACTCTACTGAGAATTCCTAGTTATCCCTCATTTGTTTATTTCCCCCTTTGAATTGCTTACCTACATTTAAGGCAGCTATTTTATAAGTCTTTGCCTGCTAATTCCATGGTCTTACATTTTTGCCTCTGTATTTATTGATCAGTTTTCCTACTTTTTTTGTGCCTATCAATTTTGTACTGAAGGCTTGACATTAGAAATGCTATGTTGTTGAGTGTTGGCAGTTTTCAGATCTAGTAAACATGAGCTCAAACACACATACCTTTCCAAGGCATTCCTTTGTGTTTTCTCAAATATCCATTCTTTTTTTTCCTTTCTCCCTTTCTCCCTCTCTTCCTTTCTCTGTCTCTCTGTCTCTGTCTCTCTGTCTCTCTCTCTTAATATTTTAAGGTTCCTGTTTGGTAGAAAGATGATGTTCCACTTGAGCCATGCATCCACCCCTTTTGCTTTACTTTTTGGATAGGGTTCAAGTTTTTGCTACAATCCTACGCACATCTCCAGTATAGGTGGGGTTGTATTATGAATGCTAACAACCATGTTCACCTTGTTAAGTTGAGATGAGTACTCCCTGGCTTCAAACCTTGACCTTCCTGATCTCCATTTCCCAAGTAGCTGGGATGGTAAGTATGAGTCACTAAGCTCAGTCAATTCTTTTTCTTTTTCAAACCATTCAGTATGAGAAAGAACTTCCAAAATAATGGAAGTTTATTGCTAAACTTTCTCAGGGTAGATACAGAGTTCCTTTTATTATATGGAAAGGCCAATCCTACATCTAAAGCATAAACTTTCCAGGATCTCCTCTGAATATTAAGAATGCTTAATGAAGGCTCCTGATCATGCTGGAGCTCTGCTACCATTGTTCAGTGTTTTTTCCCCAGTGCTTGCAATTCTGGCCAGTTTTGTGCTAGGGTTAATCAGGTACCATTGCTATTAAAGCCATAGGTATAAATCCCAAGAGGAAGCTTCTGGCCACATCTCATCTTTCCATCTTTGCATGGTCCTTTTCTCTTTGTCCTTTCACTACCCTCCTTCTATCCTCCACAATTCGCTCTCAGAAACTAGTCATTATTGAGCAAAAAGACCATACTGGAAAGTAATTCTTGTAATTCAATCCAATGTTGTTGTCCAATACACAGTACTTTTTAACTACTGTGATTAGGTTGTTTGATACTTACTGTGTTTGCTGAAGCTCCTACCTCTCTTTTTAGATTATGATGGTTCTTCTTATGTATTATTATTATTAATTTTGTTGGTTGTGGGGCTTGAACTCTGGACCTGCCTGGGTGCTGTCCCTGAGCTCTTCAGCTCAAGGTAAGCACTCTACCACGTGAGCCAGATCACCACTTCCAGTTTTGTGGTGGTTAATTGGAGAGAGTCTCACAGACTTTCTTGCCTGAGATCCTTAGAACTCAGCCTCGCGAGTAGCTAGGATTACAGGCATGAGCCACCTGCACCAGGTATATTTTTTTAAACAGTCACTGCTAAAGCTGAAATTATCCATGTTGAAAAAGTTTATTTGCTTCAAAACTATTCTTGAGCCAGCACTGTAACCATGTACCAACTGCTTTAAGGAAGAAGAAAAAACAAACCGCATCCTTTATCTACCTTTCAGCGCTCTTTATTTCTTACCTGAGACCCACTCAGTTGTTCTTTCTCTCTGAAATACTTGAGCATCTTGTGGAAAAAAGGTGCTTAGGCTCAATGTGTTTTTCTTCTAAATTAAGGGCCTCAGAGCTGATCTGATCTGTTCCTAGAATATAATGTTCATCACTCTCTGTCCACAAAACTGTCTATTAATTCATGTTTACAAAGCATTAATCACTTTAAAAATAAATGGTTGGTGAGGGAAGGGGTGACATTGTCTGAAAAGAAATGTACTCTTTACCTGACTTATGTAACTGTAACCCCTCTGTATATAACCTTTGTAATAACAATAAAAGTTTTTAAAGAAATATACCAGATAGATATCTATTACCTAAAAAAAAATGGTTGCATGGTTTTATTGCCTTTTAAAGAAAAGAGAAATAACAGTAGGAAGAACATGAATGAAACTGGCTTATAAAATGAGCTTTAATTTGTACTAGGAGAGTGATGGATTATTTAATCAAACTTTAAGAGCTGGTGGCTCAAATGCTCTTACCTGTGCAGCTGGATATATTCTCGGGGTCTGTTGAGCAGGTGAAGGAACCGGTCAACAATCTTGTTTTTGCCAACTCCCTGCAATTTCAAAGTTTGCTTTAAATAGAAAGCCACTTTTGTTTGGAGGTTGTTTCTACCAAACCAGAAAAATATTTTGCCAGGACCTACTTTATTAAGATTGTAGTATTTTAGGGGCTGGGAAGTTGGCTCAGTGGTAGAGCGCTTGCCTTGCATGCCTGAGGCCCTGGGTTTGATTCCTCAGCACCACATAAGCAAAAAGAAAA